CATCATCGGAACTTTCAGAAATTAACGTTAAATGCTTGAAAATGTAAAATTGAGGTCAAGTTAAATGGGGATTCTAGTGTACTTTAAATTTAGGGGTACTTTTCTTTTAGTCTCTGTGTCCCTTCAATTTTTTTTAAAAGAGTCTGTAAAGTTTTTGCTTTTATTTTTTTCTCTAATAGAAGAAAATCTATTTATAAGTATGGTATAGTTCCAATTTTATTTAAAACTTTTGACATTTTGAAAATTTCAAAACTTAAAAACTTATTTTTGAACCAACCCTACACCTTTCTATTTAATGGTTACATGTTAAAGCCAGAGATTTTTTCTCAATGCAATTTATCCTTCAATTAATACTACACGGAGGAAAAGGTTTACTATGCCAGAGAATCCCACTAGTTTTCCTTCTTTTGTCGGAAAAGATAAAAAATTGGCAGAAACAAACTTTCTGAAACCAAAATTTAGAGATTTAGAATTTCAATTACCTGTGAGCCAATGCTTCTTGATTGGAAACTTCCATGTATGAAAATAATAGTCTTGCAGTAGCTGCAACGAGTTCTACAAATACTCGCTGTTGTTCTGTTCCTTGACTTTAAGATGCATTTTCCTGGGTTTCCTCCAAAGAACCTTCATCTTCTGAAGCTACGCTAGTAGTTTCACTCAAATTGCTGAAAGGCTTTTGACTACTCTGTTGCTTTAGGAACTCCCATTCTTCTCTAAAATTGCAAAGGAGCAATTTGATAAAAGAAACAAAATATCAAATATAACAAAATACGAATGAAAAATTATATATTACATACGATGATGACACATGTGAGTTAACCCTAATTTTGCAATGAGGCAATTGCAATTTGGAGTTTTAGTAGGTACAACTACTTGAATGAGATCCACAGAACTCCTCATCCTTAAATAACCTAAATATAATCCTCTTCCAAGTCTGATGCTGCTAACTTGATGATAAGTTATTTGTTCCTAAATACAAAAAAGCATTTGGTCTCTCTGCTATAAAGTCTATCACTGATAAATCTTGTATCACAGTATTTTTAGTGTAGAAGAAAACTATCACCTGTATGGAAACCATAAGCAATTCCTCCACATGTGGTTCCTCATGAGTAGCCAGTTTCTTTTGCACTTTACTTAATGGGAGCTATCTTGAGTTCAAAACAGATACACATTTTGGTGAGCATACATAATTCACTGGAGATCACTAATGTTCCCTGAGAATCCTTTATTGGTCTGTGGAAGAGTTGTCCAAGACCTTGCATACACAAAGCAGTCTATAAAAACATCAGAAATTCATTTAATAGAACATAGTTCTAGAAAATGAAGGAATAACAGTTTTACTGTAAAATACATAATTAGTATGCACAAGAATAACTGTTTGCATATAATCACACTTTCTGCGTATAAGTACTACGTATTAATTAAAATAATTAATTTGAATATCATTTTCATACTAACAAGTTATACTTCCAAAAGGAAAAAAATGTTGATAAAGATTCAATTAATTGTGGTTCAATTTAAGTTAAACGAGAAATTTTAAATAGTAATTGCATTCTCATTATTGCTAAAATTTTAATTTGTTTAACTAGTTAATTGAATTGAATTTAATAAACAAAAACTAATCTGCTTCTAATATTTTTCTGAATTTCTTGTTTTACCTGCATTTGAGCAGCTGCTTGTAACAACTTGATACGAAAATGTACAGTAGAAGAGCTGAGGCTTTTCTCCATTTCCTGTCGAAGAGATTTGACATCATCCCATGTACAGGCAACCTGAAGAAACAACAAATAAATAAATAAATAAGTAAATTTTAATTGATAAAAAAATATTTTAATGCTATAGAGATGAGGGTTTTTTTCTGAGAAAAAAATACACATACCTTCATTAGTCAGTGAAAATCATTATATATACAATTTGGATATGTTTCATCCACTTCCATCACAGGCAAGAAGTCTTCATTAGTTACTAACACTATCTTGATGGTACAATAAACAGGCCAGAAATACACCCCTGAAGGAAATATATTTCAAAATTGACTTAAAATACAAGTTTTCTTGATATAATGAAATTACATTAATAATATTTATTTATTTTGTAAATATGAAGTGCTTTATGTATATGATTTCTCTTGCCAAAAAATCTTCACCATTTGAAGACTTATTATTCAGTACTGACATGATCAATTGTCTAATTAGGATGAAGTCTAGTGCCCTGAATTTTGAGAGAATGAAAGTGAAATTTATAATTTAAAAATTTGGAAAAAAGTATTTGTTTTATTCCAAAGATTTTAGTAATTAAAGTAACGTAAATATTGTAAATACCACATATTGAATAAATAAATACAGAAAATGAAATCGGTCAATTTTAAGTGAGTGCCGATTCACTTTCCCCTTCATGGCTTTGTTTCCCCAATGTACTCTATAATAAAATTTTGATCATGAATTAGTAATTATCTAAAATATACATTTGTCAATCCAGTTACAGATTCGTTTTGGATATATGTATAAAAATTAGATTATTTATTTAGAATTTTTTTTGTTATTATATTAAAAATATTTTGATATTATAAAAATTAAAAAATAATGAAATTGTAAATAAAAAATGTTTTAAAATGGGGTCCCATTGTCAGGACTTAAAACTTAAGTAATTCTTAAAATTGTTCTGTTAATATTACTGAAATTCCAAGGTGTTTGGGTACCACTATTAAATTCAATGTTTAAGTTCGACATAACATAAACCAAATGATAATAGAAATAGATTGAGCTTTAATTACAGAGAAATACACTTAAAATGATGAAATTATGAAGAGATGTGTGAAAAATCAAATTTTTGTAATAACATGAAAAACAACACTTATTGTTGTAATAATTTGTGTAAGATGGAGATCTGTTTATTTAGATAAATGGGTTCATTCTGAATAATTCCACATCACAGGGTGGTGATTTTATTTGGTGGCCAATTTAATTTGATTCTAGAATGTAGATCTGTTTCACACACCCACGCACGCACACACACACACACATTATTTTTGTAATATAACAGATTTAATCATCATACTACTGAGAAAAAAATATTTTTATTTATTGTAACAACTTATGAATCTTTACTTTTTAATTTATTTATATGTTCTAAAATAAAATTTGTTAATATTTTAAAGTTTTATTTTAATGTAAGTCTGAAGAAAAGAAATTATTTAAGAAAATACTGAATAAAGAAAAAAAAATGAATATCAGTGTTATGTAACACTAAACTTATATCTCTCATCCCTACGTAACACACCGTAGCATTTGCTGAAATACCATATGTTCCTCTTCATCATTACATATTTTATAAACAACCCCTGAAGACTAGGAAAGCCAGAAGTAAAAGTGAATATTAATGCTACAATCAAAAGAGTACATATGTATAAACATACCTTCTGAATTTTTTCTGAAATTTTGATGCCACAGTAAAGAGTTGTTTAATAGTAGTTTTCTTTCTTTGATTTCGTCTTTGAATTCCAGAAGTTTCTCCAGCTTCAACAGTAGCTTTTATATCTGCTGCATGTTCTGGTCTTGAACTTCTTATTTCAGAAAACAGGTCATCAAGAAGTTGCAGACGTCCTGCAAATCTTGGCTCACAATCCTCAACATACCGCCAACCTAAAATTATCATTTTCAATTTTAATATTGTGAAGGAAAAATATATTTGGAGAAAATCATAAATTCTAGATCATACAATGATTTAATATTTAAGCTAAAATGAGAAGAATTTCAAGATAATGTATAACAGAAAATATGTAAGAACATCAATATCGTTATTGCACTATTTTGCATTTAACTTTCATGTAAATTCTCAATACTCTCTGAAAGCAAAATTTTTAGTTACTTACTAGAAGGAATAACTGATGTAGACTGCTTAAACTTTCCATATCCTTTCAAGTTGCCACAAGTTATTCGGAAATAATACCTTTGTCCTTGAATCAAATCACCTATGTGACATTCCATGTGTTTCATATCTAAAATTTCTCTCTCTCCAGCTAAAGGACTGAAGGCTTCTAAGCAGCTCCATTGAACTACAGAAAGACTTTTTTAAAAAATTACTTTACATGTTAACACAACGTATTTGCCCTAAACAAATGGATCATGAATAATCATAATTGTAATGTTACCTTTGAATTTGGTGCATATAGCCGAGACTTGTTGTTCTGGCTCTTGGAATCTTACATTTATAGAATTTGTTTCAGTTACATCAACAGCAACCAAGAAAGGTACATCTGGAGGTCCTATTTAGTAATGATTGTTATTGTTAAGACAGCGTATTTCTACAAAACTGGAACTAATACAGCACACCAGAAAAGTCTCTTTGCAGTGGTCCTTGGTTCTTGCAACAAAACTTATGTTGGTAGCAGCGTGTAAGAAAAGAAAACTTAAATACTACACTCACCACAATCATAACATAAGCTGCAAGTGTTATTTCCTTCAATTCCAGCGATCTGTTTGCTAACAATATCACTGTCATTCTTAATAGAAGGTCCTGACTTGGCCCAGTGCAGAGAGACTTTCCTTGTGCACTATATTTTCACTTAATACAATTCAGAATCACGTACTTCCTTGATCAAAACCTAATAACGTTTTCTTTCATCCTTTAGCTCGTCTCTCCCAGAGCAGTAGCTGCTGGTCAACGGAGGGCGGAGAGAGATCATCAGAATGTCTACTTTGAGCGCTCGTTATATGGCTGATCGAGGGAGATCCCCCGAGGGCAATTCCCCTTCGCTCGCGGGTTTTTTTGGGGGGAGTTTTCCTTTGCAAAGTAGAAATCCCCTCTTTCAAATTTTTCTTGATATCGCTTTAATTTCTTTCTCCTGCTCTAAGTCGGCCTCTCTGAATGGCCCTATCAGAACCGCCCTGTCCCCGGGTTGTGTGGAAAAATCTGCCCCTGTTCATCGGATCGGTTGCGCAATAGCAGACGAAATGGCCCGGTCCCTTATTTATTGGGGGGCACTCATTGTTTGTTTGTGGTCCTGCCTTTGCCGCATATTTCCTTGTGTTCCAACGACAGTCCGGCTCCCTAATCCGGTCCCTTTGCAAGTCTTTTTGCCACGTGGCCATAGTGGATGGCACTTGTAACAGCGGGGGACGTCAATTCTTCTGCCTACTCGACAGTTGGACCAACCATTTAACGCGCTTGTTGTACAGTAGGGGAAGTTGGCTAATCGCTCACTCATCTCCACAATGGCCAAACCTTTGTTTCGCCAGCTGTTTAGGCTTGTAGCAACCGTGTCACTTTCAGCTTCGTTAGGTCGGCATTCGTATCTCGTTTGGATTGCTAGCCTTACCCTCCTCCTCGTGAGTTAGGTCCAGTCCAAATCTCGAGAATTTCTTAAACGGTGCCTGTGGTGTCTAAGTTGCGTGACGTCACATGCTCTTCCTAATGCTTTCCTGCAATCGTAGCTCTGCCGTTGTGGGAACTAGGGAGCATCTCTCTCAAACATATCGATCGCGCGCGGAGCAGTGTCGCCATCTGGCCACAGCAGAGCCGGGGCCGGAAGCCTGGCATCAAGCGGCGACGTAGTTGCCCAGGCCTCACTAGGACGTTGCCGTCTCTGGTGCTTTCGAATGTCCTCTTACCTCGACATTCGTCTTCGGCCCCTTATCTTGCATGCGCGAGGGCGCCCAAATCACTTCTTGCATACGCTTG